TGAAAGCCGATCCGGCGATCCACAGCGCAAAGTTGTTGTATTTCCTCAGCAACCAGCACGGATCAGCTCCAGGCATGACGAAGCAGATATCATCCTCTTTTGGAAGACCAAACAAAGTAGTTTGGCTTTCACAACGAAACACACAGTGCCTTCATGAAATGGCGGCGGCAACAACAATACCATAGCGAGAACAAAAGTTATGCCTTCTTTCTTTGCGTGAACATTTGTGCAGCGTTATGCAAATCTTCCCAGATAGTGAGGTAGATATGTGGGGGCGTGTTAGAACGAGCCGTTTTAGGTAGGTGTGGCTGACTCTTAACTTTTATAAGTTTAAAAGTAGCCCAATTCTGTGGAGAAAATGCAGACTTGGCAACCCTGCATCCAACAAGAGCTACCGGAGTCAGCTTTGACTGATCACAGATCGAGAATAAGGAGAGATGACTGACAAGACCATGCTGGAGTATTTGCTGCTCAACAGATCCTGAGCTCAATGACAAAAATCTGATCTGCTCCCTTTACACAGAGTGCGTGTAATCGCAAAATCGAAAGTGAAAGTAAACAGAGCAAATGCTCTTTTAAAAATATTTAAATACTCCTGCGGCTCCCTGATGCACCAAAATTATATACAATATTAGAATGTTTAAAGGAGTGGAGACGAAAATCGCGGGAGCGAAACACATGTTGCAGCAGCAGGCGGCAATGGTCAGAGATTCAGCGGGAGCCAGCATTTTGGGCAATTAAGAAATCCCGGCCGGACGCATTTTTGTAAGTCCAAAAAGAGGACATGTACATCACCCTAATTTATAATCTATTGCTAATCGATGTATTCTTTTTAAAGTAGCATATGGAACATATTTTCTGCCTCATTCTGTGACAAGAAGCCTCATCAGATCACAAAAGGAAGCATTTGACTGGTGTTGTGGAGTAAAAAGGTTATAATGTTCTCTTTTGTTAGACAACAGGTTTAGAAATGTGAATACAAGGGAGGTTTAGCATTAGACATTTTTATTTAAGCATGTTTAGCTTAGTTAATGGAAGCTGCTGCCATCAGAGCAAGTGTAATTACTGCATTCACGAGCTCCTCGGATGCTCTCATTTCCCGAGTTGTGCTTTTAAGTCAGAATGTGAAAACAACATGGACACTCTCGTTACTACAAAGATGTGTTGGATTTGTATTATTAGAGCTTTCCGACTTGAGTTCACGTGCATTTTCTCAGTCGGGAAATTATTTTTCACGTGTGGTGCCAGTGATGATGCTTCTATACGTCCGTTTCAAGAACAGGAGGAAATATTTCAATCGATCGCTCAGGCATGGCATCGAAATGAGGCACCAAAATCTGCGTTCGGATTCGGTTCTAGTACATACCGGTGCCATATTGGTACCGGGTTTCGGTACCCAACCCTATTTAAAATTCTATAAAAATTTAACAAAAATTAACAGTAATGCTTTATCAGAGTTTAATCCTTCTGGGTCTGATCTGATTATGACCTCTTATTCCAGTCTTCTGACTAATTTTGGCTATATGGTATAGCCATACCAATTCATTTGAGTATGTATAATTCTGTATGTGTGTGTCTGTGAGTGTGTAAGTACGTGTGAGTGGATGTATCTGTTTTACACTTGATGTTTTAGAGTGTAACCCCTTCCTTGCCGTCCACTTTTTTACTGCATTGTAGTTGAATTATTGATTTTATTTTACATACTTGCAGTGTTACAGTAACAGCAGTTCATAGGGGTGTGTGTGTGTGTGTGTACAAGTGTGTCCGTGCGTGTGTGAGTTGGTGTGTTGATTTTGCACTCTAGATGTTTTAGCGTTTCACCCCTTCATTGCGGTGTAATTTTATTTCTGCATTATGGAGGACTTGTAGATTGTACACACAAAATTTTCCACATTAATTTCCTATGGTCAGTCATTTTTGACCGAAGACCATGAGTGTGACTGTTTTTTACGACCACTTAGCTTTTTCGAATCATGCCCTCAATTTTTATAAATTTTTTTTCACATACCAAGTGCCATAAAAGTCACCAAGTTTCGTACCATTGTGATGAAGCTACGATTTTTAAAAATTCTAAATGTAAAATTCTCCGGTCAGAAGTGACCGAAGACTGCACTTTGTCAGTGAGAAACGCGTTCAGAATCAGCACATGGTCACTGTCTAGTGGGCTTTGTTTTCAAGTGCACAACTCATGGCATTGGCTCGCTGTTCTTCTGCTGGCGGTTATCAAACAGCGTTGCATTACTGCGGGTGCCCCCTTTTTGATTGAGGGTGAATTGCTTTTATTCTTTTAAGGCCTCATGCACCGAACCCGAGATGTCCGTACCATGACGGTTTGGTACGAATACATGTATCGTTACACCCCTATTATATATTAATATTTATTAGTCTGATTAATAAACCAAACATTAAAAAAGCACACATCTTACAAAACTATTCATATTAGAAAGGCTACAAAAGTATTTGTTTAGTTTATATGTCATCCGCTGGCTCTGAAACCTTCAACAATCAACAGCGCTTTCAAAGACTTTAAGCATCATAAACACGGCTATTTTAGATCTAAAAATGTACAGTAGTCAATGTGTTGGTGCCAAGCCATAACACATAGGCTTAGCTTCTTTCACAGTCCCATCAAGGCTAAAAACAGTACCGATCTGAAACATGCTCAAAGGGAATCCCAGAACTTCCACTAGCAAATGGAGACAAATCACTATCAGTTTAGATATCAAATAACTTTCCGATGCTCATGAACCGTGAAAGTGCATGTCAGATGCCATCATTAGAGCAAATGGAACTATAATAAATCAACAATCAACATTTCGAAAAGTGACACTAAATATAGTCAGTAAAAACACTGCTGAAATACTGAGTCAAATTAATAAAACAGTATGTGCTAAAGACTCCATTTGTTCACAGTCAAACAAGATGTGCAACAGGATGACAGGTTCAAAAACATCATCAATTTATGCAGCGCTGAGACTGACAGCTTTCTCCAGGTCTAACCAGATGGAAACCTTCCTCTCACCTTTCCACCTGCTAACAGGTCTCATATTCCTCTGCAGTTGTGCAACTATTCATAGAGCAAGAAGCTGTTAGGTGATGTGAGTAACTCAGTGTAGATGGTGGGAACCAGCTAACCCAAACAACAGCAGCTTGCCAATTTTTAATGGAAAGAATGTCGCTTATTCAAACAAAGCATTATAATAACTTATAATATAATAATATAATAACACGGCAGAGATGTAGCTCTGTGAAACAGATATGATGTGTTACGGTCCAAACGGTGAAGCATTCAGAATAGCCTGTATTGGACATGAAATAGCCCATATCCGATCACTCTAGGCATGTGGCTTTGACATACATGTGGCCTGTGTTTGGAATCCCAGCACTCAACCAATATACAAAAGCCCTGCGGACGCGTGTACTTCGCAGATGTTTAAAATAACTGATTTTGTTCATTTCAGTAGATTAGTCGTAATAAGCAGAAAACCTTTTACTTTCACAGACAGACATGCAAAAGGTTTGAAGGTATTCTTAACTTCCTTAGATAATTCTGGATGTTCTGTCAACACTGCGAGATATTTATGAATACTCGCAAGATAGCATTTTTTATAAAACAGCTATTTCACCTGCGTCACCTGTTCACTCAGCTCTCGTGGGTTCTACAGTTTTTATAATCATAGGTAATTATATTTGTATTAGTAAGTGCTAAACATTTACATTTGCTCCTGTACTACTGTCAAATGTTTGGGGCTGGTAGGATTTTGGTTTTTGAAAGAAGGTCACCATGGCTGTATTTCTTTCACAGTAAAAAAGTAATATTGTGAAGAATCATTACAATTTAAAATAACTTGTCTAATACATTTTAAAATGTCATTTACTGCTGCGATGCCAAAGCTAAATTTCAATACTTCAGTCTTCAGTTTCACATGATCCTTCAGAAATCATACTAATGTGTTGATTCATGCCTCAAGATTTTTTTTTTGATTATTATAAATGCTGAAAACAGTTGTGCTGCTTAATATTTCTGTGATTTTTTTTTTTGATGAATAGGAAGTTCAAAAGAACAGCATTTATTTGAAATAGAAATCCTTTGTAAAATTTTGTAACAATATAAATGTTTTTTTGATCAATTGAATGCATCCTTGTATAATAAACGCAATTTGAACCCCGACATTTTAAATGGTTATTATTACACATGCAAATAATGTGTAACACTGAATTTTGTCTCGGTTAGAAGTTGTTGCATAAATCTTTCTAATACCTCAATATATGAATAGAACATCCATTTTATGAGTTATCTGAAAGTCCTTTTAGTAGTTTAGTCTACATGTGAAAATCGTAGCAACTCCAAACTTTTAAACGTGTGAATAAGATTCAAGAAAAAAAAAACTGAATGACTTCTCTGTTTAATATTTGTTGATGGTGATTTTTAGACTGTGGTAACAATTCAGTAGATGGAGGTGAAAATCTATTTAAAAGCACCCTGTAGTTTCAATTGATTCACTGAAGTGATTTTTTTATTGGTCAGTATTTATTTATAATAATTAAATAATTACATGCTTTTATATCTGACAGTGTTGGGCCATATTAATGGGCAAGGGGGAAAAAACACACAGTAAGCTGGAAAATATAGCCAAATATGTTGAACAGATTAATGCAAAATAATGTCTTGGTTTCAGTGTTTTGTCCTGGTAGACTCAAGCATAAGTGAGTGGCATGTCTGATGCAGAAGCTAGTAGTGCAACAGATACATGCTTGAATCCTGAGGAAGGTGAGACAACTAAGTGAGTCAAAACTGACACTGGATCTTGCTTGAATGAAAATGCAGCTGCTGCCTGAGACATGATGGACCATGTAGTCCAAACACACGAATGCTCATTACCTCCCTTAAAATAGTACTGAGGAAACAAATCACACCAAGCTGGCGCAAATCAGACTTTGCTGGTTTCTAGTCTAACAAATGATTTCAAGATACTTCATTGGAAAGGAAAGATTCTTACCCAGCTTCCCCCGTGACTCCTCGAGCTTCTGAATTTGGTTTTCCAAAAAGATCATCGCAATGGCGAAGGCCAACAGAGCCAGGAGCTGAAACTTCGGCGGCATCTTTAACCTTAAAAGCCCCATCAAAAAACCCAGCACAGAGAGGACATGCCGTGACCGAGAACTTTATGACACACAGTTCATGGATGCAGAGAGCAGTGCTGCTATTCCATGATTCCTACAATCGAATATAAACCCTCACAGCAAACTTACTACCGCAACCAAAACAGTTCCGCGTAAAATGTTGTATGTTTATTGAATCGGAACAGCTCAGACTATGCTTCGCTTGAGTAGCAGATGTAGTGTAGGTTGAACTAGGTTCAGTTGTTGATCAATCCTGGGAAGTATCGGCACGTTGTGTCAGTGCGCATGCGCATTCGCCGGTTTTGCCGTCAGTGGGTCAGCTGTCGCTCTATGACTGGAGAATGTCACTTCACTCAAATACGACTCCTGTCCAGACAACAACACATCACGTTTACAGTCAACTGTTCATGTATACATACAGATATTGTTAAAAATATTAATTGCGTATAAAAGATCACATATAAAATCCCTCTTATATTTCCACATAACACAACTTTCATGCCATAAACGCTTGACACACTTTTTAATTATGAATGCCTGACAAATCTAGACACTCCTTCAGCTTAGTTAAAAAGAATATGCCGATTATTGTTTATTCTTTTTGTTGGCAATTGTTAAAACAGTTTGATCTTTCTTTAAATCCAGGAACCCGTTATTCTTTCAAACAGCTTGTTGTGTATGGTAGGACTTTTAGCGTGTGAAGTGACCTTAGCAGAGACAGTCTGTGGATGTGACGCACTTCCTGCTGAGCTCTGCGGCGGTGAGCGGAAGAGAGCACTCATGGCTGGGGAGGTGTACCTGCTTTGGTTACTGCCGTTATTACAAACGGTAGGTGAACAAACCATATCTGTAGATTTTCTTCTTTGAAAGTAGATACTCAACAATGACAAGTAGTCCACGTTTCTATGTAAAATGTGGAGTATTTACGTTCAAGGCGCTGGTTAGCCGGCTCGCTAATGTTAGCTAATGGCGTGGCTCAACCGGCTGATAATGTAAATACTGTATTGCAAATCTGTATAATATTGCGGATTTAATGTCTAACTTTGCACCTACTATAAACGTTTGAGACAATGTTTTTCCATATGATCTGTAATGATTACATTTTGAAACTGTTAGCTAGTTTACCTGCAAAAAAAAAAAAGTACTTGTAAATACAAGTAACTTTTAAAATAAACATTACGGTGATGTAAAATATGATTCCTGTACGTTTATGTTTTCGCAGTTTTGGGGATTTTCCGAGAGTAGTTGATAGTGCTCGTAACTAGGAAGCAAATTCACCAAGTGTTATTTCATTATCTTGTGTGGATAAAAAAAATGCATATAACATAAATTCCATACCATAAGGCTTGTTGATCAGAGTCAAGGTCCAAACAATTCTTAAGTCATTGCTATTTAAATATAAAGTCTCTGAGTTATTATTAGTTTCAATGAGAGAGTATTATAGTTATATATATTTGAAACATTTTGAAGTTTTTATAGTTTCTATTTTTATTTTAGTTAAAGTTTTTAATAAATAGAGTTTTTATTCATTTTTATTTCTGTTTTAGTTATTTTAGTACATCAAGTGAAACAAATGTTGCGTTGGCAACTAGCTGAAATAAAAAAAAAGTTTTTATATTCTAGTTTTCTTTTTTTCAGTTAAGGTTTATTTTATTTCAAGTAACAATTTTGTATGGTTAATTTTACTTTCAGTTTTATTTAACTATAATAACACTGGTCTCAAAAGCTCAAATCTTCCTGCATTCCAAAAGAATTTCATTTTTTAAATGAAGTGCTTATTTTTAAATGGAAATGTATCAACTATACTATTTATTTTATCATTTAAATTGTGTGCAACTACGAAGCGAAATGTCAACCACCAGTTATAAAACCGTATAGTCTTGTTATCATAGCTGTGTAGCCAAAGCTCGCAAATTCCTGCACCTGTGCTTTACCCTCCATTTGCCTTGCTCTTTGACATTGCATTTGAGGGTCATTAAAATCAAAGATGCTCTCAGAAAACAGCTGAGAATTTCCAACAGGTTTGAGGTGTTGACTTAAAGTCAGCTGGTGTAGGTGCTTAAAGAATTTCATCTACTGCTTGTTTCATGTGTAAAATGTTGAAAATCTTCCTGGCTTAGCTATCGTCTTATGGAGCGGAGCTCTCCTCTGAGGCCTGCAGGGAGATGGGCTTCTCCAGCAATCTCCTGTGCAGCTCCTGTGATCTCCTGGGTCAGTTCAGCCTGGGCCAGTTAGACCTTCCCTGCAGGCAGTGCTGCCAAGAGGAGGCTCAGCTGGAGTC